TTTGTGGGGGGTGGGAGGTTCTAACATTCCGCTAAGCAGGATGAGGCTGCCTCTCTAGAAACAGTTGTTGGGCTATATCGGTAGCTCTGGTTCAACTACGGATGCCTTCATGACGTATACATACATACGTTTTTTATGTTTATTATAGTGGTTAGGAAAATAAATTTGTACCGGGAAAAAAACCCAGCGGGACTTTTTTTTATAGAAAACGAACAGTTAACAAATAAAATATAAAAAATTAAAGTAGCTTGGTAGCGATCACCTTATTTCCAGGGGTTTTATGATCCATAAAATGAGTTCAAGCATCCTAATACGGCTACATGACAAATAATGCACGGGATTATTAAACACAGTACAGGAATGCTAAAAAAAGTACACCAACGCTCTGCTTTCGTCCCTAAATATAGTTGTCAATACATATGCAAACGTGCGGCCGTGAGGAACATTTACAATTATCTACAGCAACACTAATTTACTTGAAACAACTATTATAAGCATTGTTCTAATGTTACCCAATGTCACCTTAATAAAAAACGCACAAGAAGTAAAGAGTGAGAAAAGAAAAACAGGAAACAAAAAACTACTCTGTTCTTTTTATTATTTTTACCGCTACGTCATTCACAAGTCATCGTCAGTCATTCGCTGGACTGTCACTGTCACCCGTTGCAGAGAGTGTTCACCTTAATCGTCAAGTTCGCCAGACCTTTTGACGATGGACACTTGGACACTGCTGCCCGTCGCCAGTCTCGATACTTTATTTCTGGTTCACAAACCACCTGATGGTAAGTAAAAAAAAGTAGTAATAATTAAGTAAATTATTGATATTATAAATTTATATTCGAGTACTTTACAGCACCCGTATTCATGGGTCAAAGTACTCGAAAGGTAGGGAAATATAAAATAAGTTAATATTAATCCTATTATAAATATATAGATAAAAAAAATCCTAAAAAATCTAGTTTTCTTTAAACCACAGAAATCGTAATTATTACTATTTATGTGGTTTAAACAAACTATAAATTCGATCTTTGGTGCTGGAACTACCGAAATTGATTGAGCGCTGAATTATTTTTTCAGTTGTGGATGATAAGTAACACTGTAATATTAAACGACATATGTTAAACGAAAATAAATATTTTAAACACGTATTACTTCAATAGTAAAGCGAGATTAAAACCGTTTTAAGATCCACTTATAACTATCGAAACATAGGTTATAGGCTTAGAGTTTTAATTAATAATTTTAACATGACGCCTTTAGTTTAATATTAAAATCAATGTGTGAAATTAATGTATTTTGACTTTATGCTTATTAATATATTTTTAATTGTTTAAAATATTAACTTAAAAGTAATTTTAGACGGTTTTATACAGAAATTTAATGTTAATTATTAGTAATAATAATACACCATCACACTACTAACATCGGTTATTGTAATACAAAAAAGCATAGGTAAATTTAAATAAAAATTGAAAGCATGACAGCTCCTTTTTATATAAAAGATGTCCGAGGAGTATACCGTGAAACTCTCCCCAGTTTTAATGATCCTGTTAATAACCACTTTACGAAGTTAAGTACATCGTTAGCGGGGGTACATTCTCGACTTGTTTACTGGTTCTTAGTGAATAACTTGATAAATAACACCTGGCGAAACGAGGCAAGAAGAGGTTGCGTTTTGACACAGAATAAAAAAAAATAGTTTTCATCTCATTAGACCGATAAAAAAGCTCACAGTTGGGTAGTTGACAAACTTGTCATAAATACTGCGTCATTATAATTAAAATTTGCTAGGTTTAAAGTCTTTCTATTTAAGTACAAGATTTTATCGCATCCGTATTTTGATTCTCAATTGGAGATAGATCTAGATGTCTACTGGCAGCATCATCCACTTACCATCAAGTACTCTGTGAGCTCATTTGTAACTCACATTCTATAAAATAAAAGTCATTAATCTATTTTATTATAAGTACATTACATACATTACATTAATATATCAGTATCTATTAATGTGTTATGTTATCTTGTGGTATAGATAGGTATCTATTAATGTGAAAGTTAATATTTAAGATAGTGAAACACCATACTATTTCACAATTTTTTTTAAATCTCTCTACTGTAGAGTTGGAGATTGTTTATTCTATTTTAGTAGATTAGACATTTCCTCTACACTAAGAGTTTCTTCTGTATCGTGGGGCAATTTATATACATAAATTTCACAAATACAAACATCCAGTCAAAGAAAAATTATTTGTTGACCATACAAGTACTTGTTCCATTCAATTTCTTTTAACCTTACTGGCCGGGAATAGAACTTTTCACCTAGTAAAACTTTGATTTTATCGTTTACACTTTAAAGTTGCTGCCCCTTACCTTTCCCCTAATTAAAAAAATGTAAGTATTCTAGTCCTTGTAAATTATTAAAACTAGTTGCTCTAGCAGCTGTTAACGAGATTGCTGATTATTAGGTTCAGGTTGAAATCTCGGGTCAAAATCAGTTAATGTCATGTCAATATGATGTTACTCAAAAATAGGTCTAAAATCAGTTATCGGGCTTTTCTGTAAAAAAATTCAGTAGCAGACCGGAGTTATAAAGTTGGCGGTGTTACATCGCCGTGCCTTAGAAAACACGTAAAGCCTGAGTGAACCTGTGCATGCGCATATATTCTGCACTATAATCCTGCCCTGAACAGATGGCTAGTCTCCGTAGAGGCTTACCGTCGTGACCAAAATTCGGTTTGGAGGACATTTTTATATTTTAAATCTTTTAGTTCGTAGAGCTAAGCCTATCGAGTATAGTTGACTGAACTCGAAAACTGCTTCAGCTAAATAAATTGAGTGACGTTGGATATTGAACGAAGGCTTTAAAGAGGCCATATTAAGTACATTTTTTATTTACTACTAACGGCGGTTGTTTTAGTGCAAGAAAGCGTAAGTAAATTTAAATAAAATTTGTAAGCATCACAGCTTCTTTTTATATTAAAGATGTCTCAGGAGCATTTAGCGAAACTCTCCTTAGTTTTAATGATCCTGATAACCACTTTACGAAGTTAAGAACATCGTTAGCGGGAGTATATTCTTGGCTTATTTACTTATTCTTATTAAATAATTTGATAAACAAAACCTCGCGAGACGAGGCAAAAAGAAGCCGTGTTTTGGCACAAATAAAAAAAATGTTAATATTTTCTCATTAGAACTATAAACAAGCTCACAAATAGGTAGTTGACTAACTGTTTAGGCATAATTTTAACAATTTGCAGTTTCGAGCAGAAAATCGGTTTGACGGCGTGGCCGGGAGGGGGACTGACATGTGCGGCCAACGGCCGCGCCAACGGGTCACGTTCTTCTTGGTGAGCGAGGCGTATCGTTTAGAGGTCGCGTTTGTTTTTGATACAATTACCGTTGCAATTAGCGTTGAAAAGGCGGCCTCCTTGTGTTATCTTATATTTGTACGTATCCGTGATAACGAGGCTTATTCTTGTGTTAATTGTGCGCGCCATTTTGAACTACTATTGAACATTTGGGTTTAATTAGACCGCCTCTAATTTACTTGTCTGTTTTGAACGTGACGTGACAAGAGGCCTACTTGGAGTTTGGAATGATTAAAGGAACTTTTATGCCGTTAATTGCATCGACTAGTTAGTGATCCCGGTGTCGATCGCGCGCGATTATAGTTTGTGCTAAGTGACGCTGGACTTGGGTTCCGATAGCGGTGAGCATCTTGTGGGGCGGTCGGCGCACGTGGTGCTGCTATCTGATCGTATTGGTGACGTCAGGTTACACTATACACTTTCCTACACTACTCAACCACTCTCATTTACTTGCCCCTGACGCTACCTTGTGGTAGAACCTACACTTTTGGAATTCGGTAAGTTTTGTGTTTGCGTACCTAACTGTTTTAATTTAATTATCCATAGGTCATTAGACCCTCCGCTCTGTTACTCGTCGAGTTGGACTACTGATGGGCCCTAGTTTCAATCGGTTTTTGTCAGGGTAACTCAGGGCCGTAACACTAACTATTCACACTACTATAAACGTCAACTATAAATTTGGATGTTTAGAGTCCTTCCACCATAGTTCTCAATCGTGACATCGCATCTGCATTTTGATTCTTAGTTGGAGATAGATCTAGCTGTCTATGAGCCACAGCATCCACTTACCATCAGATGGACTGTGTGCACGCTTATCGCACATACTTAAAATAATTCTTAGTCTATTTTCCATTACATAATAAACTAGTAATTGACACTGGCTTCGTCTGATTATGGTCTCTTAATGCGGCGGTGAAGATTTGAGATAGTCAAACGGAACTTTATTTTACTGAGTTTCCTTTTTAAAAAAATATTTTTCGGATAAAATAAAGCCTAGATAATTCCTTTCTTTGCTCTCTATCTTTTCGTGAAATTTTATTACAATCAAAACCGTTGCTTTGATGTTATGTTATTTTTTAGCGTAGTAGAACCACGCTGCAACTATAATGAGTGGTTCGATCAGGGTAGGACCATGATCTAACAGAATATCATCGTAAAATAGCAGCTCAATGTTGCTGTTTTCCGTATGCTGAGTGCAGGGAACCGGAGACCCATTTTACTGAAAAGGAGGCATTTCATCTTAGTCCACACGGGTAACAACGCATTTGCATTTTAATTCTTAATCGAGGATAAATGTTTATGGGCCACAGAATCCACTTACCATCAGGTGAGCTGTGTAATCATTTGTCATCCTATTCTATAAAAAAAAATTAGTTTCATAATGAATTACTGGCAACGGATTGAGAACTCAAAAGATATTGAGTTTGAATCCACCATTCGACTACTTTTTTGAAATACTCCTAACACAATCATTTTAAGTTTACCAGTAGTGGTTAAAGGTATAGGAATGTTAAAATTATTGCCAGCAATAAAAAAAACATATATTCAAATTACGTTTATAAGATTTTGTGAACAGATGTAAAACGATATTAAAAAATCATAATTAATTATAAATGACAATTGAGTATTTAACTACTCTTGTCTTGGCCGAAATCTAAGCCAATGCCCGCCTCTTAGGCGAAGTAAAAATGTATTGGTGGTGAGCTTTGCGGGGACACAAGTTTTCTCACACGGAGATATCTCCATATGCAAAAGAAGCTGGTACAGTATTACTTTCACCTCGCATAACGCAAATCTGGAACCTGAAAAAACGAAATATACTTAATGGAATCAGGTGATACTTTACGGAAATAATGTGATTTACCTAGTTTGAAGAGCACCTCCAGCCCTCCACTATCCTCGTCACCATTAATGGTGACTGATTGCTAAGACTTAGTGATTTAGGTTTAGTGGTAACGGAAGTAGTGTACGCAAGTGTGGGAGGGTCGGAGACGTAGTGGCTTAAGATACATTATTTGAGTGATGGTAAAACATTTTATTTTATTAATTAATTTTTAACATCTTTTAACATAAAATACAATTAATCTGACTTTTAAATATTTATAATTTTTAATTATCACTTCGTAGTGTTATAATGTTGGTGGCAGTGATAGTGCATTAACGAGAAAACCATTTTATTTTCCACTCTCATTTTAGCTATATAATTTTGATATCTTTATATAGCCTCCAGTAGCGGAAGTAACGCGTTTGTGAAAAGACGTAACGGAACTTTGCCGTTTTTGATATATCCTTCAAAGCCAGCACGAGTGTAGTAAAGAGACTAATATAACCAGTCCAAGAGAATTTATCATTTTCAAATACCATTCGAGGCAGTCGTGCCGTCCGTGGAATATGGGTCCCGGTATATGGGTATGGCGCCGACATCGCGTCAAAACTCATTATAAATTACTTCTGCCTTAATTTCTTAAGCGAGCCCTTTTTTTCCCTAAAATACTTAGGCTATCTTTTTGTGTGTGGGTTTCGACTTCCAGCTTTTGAAGCTGAGACTGAGAATTTTCATGACCATCGTAAAGAGAAGCAATTTTCATTTCAGGAGCATCTACTACCTAAAATTACTATTCAGTAGGTGTCGCAAAAGGCGTAGTAAGAAATTAAAGTTAGAGATGGGTTGTAGCACATTCCTGCTCACAACTCTATAATAAGAATAAAAACTACGGTTGTCAACTTGCTTGCCAAGCTTTGCCACTATGGAAAATATCTTCTGATATGAAGCAATCTGCAGTATCAGCAGTTTCTTTACTCTATGTTCTAGAAAAATATTGTCAATACGGGCACTAAGACCACTCACCATTAAGAAACGGAACCTCTGGCCTCTACCAATGTGGCCGCTAAAGAGGACGCTAACTCGAAAGTTGGCCCCGAGACACCGTGATAAAACTGCGAGGGTGGGTTTGAGCGATAAGGAATGCACAGGGGACGTGGTTTAATAAAGTAAAGCGAGAAAGGGACCCCTGAGTTCCAAATGGAGATGCCCGAATAGAGATCCCGGGACACCTTATAAACGGCTTACGGTGACCATCATAAAGTTTTAGCCGCTACGAATCCAGCATAACCTTTCTGTTGTTGATGAAGTAGCCATGAAGATTTCCCCACGGTAAAAAAAAGTATCACTAACCTAGACAGTTCCTGACTCCCAGACCAAATGGCATGTAGGTGAACGGTTTAATTAGGTGCTTGTTTTCTTCTGAGAAGCGCTCTGGATCGAACTTCTCCGGGTCTGGGTAATACTTGGGATCGTGGTGAATTGCCCATACAGGAATCATAACGGATTCACCTTTCCGGACCTTAATAACGGGAATATTCTAATTAATAATGTTACTGTTAATAATAAATTTAAGAATAACCTAAGTTTAACCAGCTAAGCTTAAGTTTATTACTTACACTAACATTAGACGTAATATTTACACATAAATAATATATTTTAATTAAGATAAATATTTTTTAAGTAAAATACATTTTTTGTCTAGGAGTACCTTAAGATGGGTACCAAATTTTTACCTATCTCTGTCATCAATCATCACACCACACATATGCACCTTAAACCTTAAATTTGTTGGTTGCAAATAATTTTAGACGCATGTGTGCACGTGAGTGCGTGTCTTTACAATAAGTTGAGCATGGTTTTGGCTCGGTTTTTGCGTCACTTGATATGTACGCAGCGCTCAGTCTCTCATTCTTTGTTGGTTCGAGGCCGCGTGCATTCTTTGCTGCATTACGGTTTGGAGGATACAAAGTTAACATAACTGAGGACAATGAGACATTCCACCTTTAACTGTTTATCCTACCAAAACAGCCACCCTGAGATAAAATAAAAATATGTATTCTTTATAACTATATAAAATATTGTCCATGCGGTCGGAGCTAAGTTCTGCAAGACTCGCCGCTCTCCGATCACACTCTTAAACTCATTGCTGTTAGAGTGGAAATGAAGCTAAATTCTCCAGTAGATTTGACAGCATACAGGCAACTGAACAGACAGGTGTGAACAGAAAAAAATGTGAAGCAGCATTTTCCTATTACAAAAACTGAAAATAGTAACAATATACTGCAGTTGGCGACCCGTCTGCCAAGAGTGATAATTATCCCTACGTGGTCTACGAGGCAGAATGTACAAGTGTAGCCTTTGGTGCGTAGAATTAATAATAATTTTTTAGAATATCTTAATGATATATTACGGGAAAAGCTTCAGATTTGATAGATTAGGCAGTCAGTGTCACTGAAGCATCAGAACTGACGAGTTGGAAGCTGTAGATCACATAAGATTATATTCTTATGGGGCAATGTTTATATGCAAAATGTGTTTTAGCTAAGTTTAATATGCCAGCGTTTGAATATTACCTCAGAGAGAGAAAGAGAGAGAGAGAGAGAGAGAGAGAGAGAGAGAGAGGGAGAGAGAAAGAGAGGGAGAAGATTTCAGATCTCTAGATTATAGAAATATTTATAATTGCTTACGATGTAATCCTGGGTGGCTTCTTCATTTGTCTTTCCCAAGTTGTAGTCTTTGGTACAAATTCGTTCCAACACAATACCTAAAGACCAAATCCTGAGTACCTCTGAAATATAGAAAACTGATATAATGTCTGATATAATGAAGCTATGTAATTGTTGTAGAATAAATAGGTTGGTTTCACCGGCGAAGCACAACGCTCTCATATAATGAATGACTACGTAAAATATTGGTTTAATGCTGCTGTGTTTCGTATGGTGAGTGTAGAAATCCGTAGAACCATTTTACTAGGAAGGAGGCATTCTATCTTAGTCCACATATACCCCATTCTAGACCACAGCATCCACTTAATCAGGTGAAATGTGTTCTCGTCGCTAGAAAAAATGGCCTCTTAACGTAATGTAAAAAAAACCTAAAGTAAGGTGAACCTTTTTTCAATATTCTAAGCCAGAGTTTAACTACAATCCCATATGGTGGTAAATGGTGATGTAGCCTAAGGTGGTGAAGCGCATTGACTTAACGTACCCACATTGTAATCGAATGGAAGGACAGATGCTGGTAACCTATTCCACTCCTTTGCTGTACGCATGACGAACGATGTACCACACCGTTTGGTTCGAAAGCCTGGTAAGTCAACAACAAAATGGTGGAGACAAGCTGAACGTCTGGTTGCGCGATGGTGGAAGAGAAAGGAAGGAATTAAAATATGCAATTACTTGGCACACTCTCTGAAATCTATTTTGTAGAAAACTAAAAGCCTTGCTACTTTGCGCCTGTTTTCGAGGCTGGTAAGGTTGGTTTTAACCAAATTCGGATCATATACTCATATATTAAGTTCTTATCACCTAGAAATGGCTGGATTACTTGCATTTATATATCTCTTGGAAAATTTAACTCCAAGTAGTAAATCTTTGCACGCACCGCGTGCGTAAAAGACAATCAAATGAAATATTGCTTTATTTGGATCAGAATATTTTTGAGATTACCGTTGCAAGCCATGATTAATGCCATTAACGCCATCTAGTATCGAGGAGCAGAACTAGGAGAGCTTTCTAGAAATATCCATAGTAGAACTTTCCCACTAGCGCCATCACAACTGGGAGGGAACTTTCTACACGTAGTTGGTTGGGACCGGTATATGCTCAAACAATCGAGATGTTTCAGTGGAGATTAATTATTAGAGTGTTTTAAGTTGTAGTTGGTGTTCGATAGTTAAAGTGTTAATTTCCGTAATTCAATCGGCAGTTTTTATTGTCACGAACTCAAAGATTATAACATTATTTTAAAAAGAAAAATAGATACGACTCATCTTTTTCCGCATTAATGATGCTGAGCAACAGAGCTGCTAGTACTGATACAGATGTCGCTACTTTATTTGCGAATCATTTCTCCTGAATTTAAGTAGCTGGTCAACATCTAGTTATTAACTAGTAACATCTAACAGTCATCCAAATTTATATTCCTAGAAACAAATGTTTAACACATTATAGAAAATTAAAACGTTGGATATTCAAAAGGGGTCAGGTCCAGATTCTCTTCCGCCCATTTTTGTAAAACGTTGAGGTTCAGGTCTTGCATTTCCTTTTTCGCTGATCTTCGACCGTTTCCTTGAAGAAGACGTATTTCCTATATATTATTAATTCTGTCATGTCTTTTAAACTGTTGGAAATTTTTGTGCATCCCATTTTCACCAAACATTTGAATTTGGTATACGGTCTCTAAAGCGGCTTATCAGTTACAACTAACTTGTCAAACTTTACCTCGGACCAGATAGCAGAGGTACAGAGCGATACTATTTATACTGATTTTGTATCGTAAAGTTGACTATCAAGTTGAGATTCAAATCAACAAGCTTTCACAATACGATATCGACGCTTCTTTAAGTACTAAATGATTTAAATCTTATCTAAGCTAGAGATCTCAGACTGTAGTAGTAAAAGGGTTTGAATCTGAGAGATACATCGCTCGCTCTGAGGTAACACAGGGTTTTGGCCTGGGACCTTTATTCTTTTTGATCTTCAAAAATGATATCATCGTTATCACTACAGCACTTCACAAGTCCACTGCTGAACATAGACCTCCCCCAAGGAATACCACAAAGTACGGTTCATAGCCACCTGCATCCATCAAATTCCTGCATGTCTTAACAGGTTGTCACTCTATCCAGTGAGGGAACGCCCTATGATGAATATCGACACAGAGGTAAAGCATTGTAAGTACTCACTTTTTGCCAGTAACTCAGAAATCTAATAAATAATAAAATCAGATGAAGAAACTGAAAGCTTGCAAGAAGATCTCCATAGAATCCACTAATTGGTGTGGCGTCAATAGATTCATATTCTTAATGTTAACAAATGTTTTCATGTGAAATGTACCAGAAAGAAAAAAACACCTGTCTTAAGTTATTTCATTGATGATATAGTATTACAAAAGTTACCAGAAATCAAAGACTTAGGAGTTACTTTTGACAGAAAGGTAACTTTTACATTATATAAAACAATAATATGAAAAAGCCAGACAGTCTTTCGGATTCATATCCCTATATACCCCGTATAACACATTTTTTGATGCTAAACCGGTCCTTGTAGACCCCGCTAATCCTGACACAAGTACTAGAGTCACTATAAGGAAACCTTAATGCCTGTATCAAGCCAGCGCTCAACGCAGATGAAATCAGTGTTTGCCATAACACATTCCTGTCTACTCTATCATAAGACTTTACCAAGTCCATGAACACACAAAAACTTTTTGGTTTTTGAGAAAACTTTCCTCGCGACAATGCGCATGGCAAAGACTTTATTTGACCACTTATTGTAAGTATGTTTATGAAAGAAATAAATTAATAAATAATTGCCTCTCCGAGAGATTTTTATTTGTAGAAGAGCGGGTAAAAGTATATGCGGCTTAATTGTAGGTAACTGATGCCCATGAACAACTGTCACACTGTTGGAATTGCAAATGCTTTGCTGTTTGTCTTCTAAAAACTAGTAAGCTCTTGACGGTCGCCAAGTCGTATAGGTTTGGAAAATCTAGGGTAATGGTTGTGCACTGCCTTCAAATTAATATAGTTACACTATTCTTTTTTTGAAACAAAATAATGACCGTTAGATCGATTTTCAACCGCTGCAGTGTGAAGCGGGTCTTAAAGGAGATTTGCGCAGGACAAGATAGTGTACGAGTGGGTGAATCTAATCTGAAAGGGATCAGGAGCACCAACGACTTTTACGTGCACGAGAGTGAAACACCGCCAACTTTTGACTCAGGGCTGCTACTGAATTTGACAGAAAAACCCAATAACTGAATTTTGTCCCAAGCCAGGATTTAAACCCTAGACCTCATGAGCAACAAAGCAGTACAATGAAATAAAATATAACGTACCTGACACTACCATATCCAAATAAGTCATATCAAGTATGGTGTTGTAATCAAGACGCCCTCCATTCTTAGCGTTGTGTTCTTTGATCTCCATTGCGAGGCGCTCTTGAATTTCTGGGTGCATGGCCAGCTCATAAAGTGCAAAGAATGTTGATGATGATATGGTATCGAAACCGCCAAGGATGAAAAGCATTGCTTGGGCTACTAAGTCGTCGTCGCTCCAAACTAAAAGTAAATATCAAAAGGTGTTTAGTAATAGTCATTGATCGTTTCGCATCATTTCTCCATTCTTTATTTTACAGGAGTTACCAAACCATTGCTGAGATTTGCTTCCAATGGAACTTTTTATTCCTGTGGGCACCACAGAGGAAGGAATAAAAAGTTCCATACCCTGAAGTACCACATCAGCGACATAATCCGCAACAACGTTGGGATCGTCCGGCGAGAAGTAAACCCGCCCCCAAGGGTAGGATGCAAAGAAAGACCGCATCCCATCCCAATCGGCTGACCTATAGTGCCAAACACGGCGGCAGCCTGCATATTGCAACTGTGATTTCAGCGTGAGTGGCACCACACTCCGAACAAGACAATGGTCCGAGGAGCCTAAAGGGGCGTCGACGGAAATCTGATATCCGTCCGGGTGAGAGGTCAGCAGAAGGTTCAACAGGGAAGGTGCACAAACATGATCCTCCACATCTGGAATCCGCGTAGGCGAAGTAACCAGTTGTTTCAGACCATATGCCAAGGCAAAATCATGAACAGATCTCCCCGCATGATCGGTTAAAAGTGAACCAAGCCATTCGGCGTGATGGGCGTTAAAGTCGCCGAGGATCACGATCTCTGCGGAGAGGATCTGCTGTAGCAACGAATCTGCAGCCATTTGGACGTGGTCGAAGAGTCGGTCTGTTTCGGCATTACCGCTATGGGACCTATAGAGACACCCGTAAACGCGCGGATGGACGTCGCTGTCTACGCGTAGCCAAAGAATGCAGGTCCGAACCTTCAAGTCTACCGAGGCGTCGAGAACAGATGTCCTCTCTGACGTAAACGATAACTCCAGCCCGAGGCACAAAGGAGTGTTCCAGTTTGTACCCGGGTAGGAGAGATACGAGACATCAGCCGAAGAGGATACCTGCGTCTCGGTAAGAAAGAGCAGAGCCGGTCTCGCCGTCTCGAGATGGCAGTGGACGGCGTTTAGGTTGGAGTGAAGTCCCCTGATATTGCTGAATTAGGACAGAGTGGCAGGGGTCACCTTGGTGTTGTTGCTCCGTTTGCCCCGAGCAGTTGTAGTCTTGAGTAGAATTTTGCCCCCCCCCCCAGAATACGCGGGGCAGCCTGAGCACACACGTTCAGAAGTGGAGAAACATGGTCGTGGATGCTCAGCGAGGGATTCTCCAGGGGTGCTGGTACCCTCCTGGGGTAGTCGATCATCATTTAATTCCGCTACCATGTTGATGGGGGGGGGAGGATTTGGGCCTCCGGCCACCTGCACTCACCAGACGAAACGCGGAAGCAGAGCTTCCACTTACACCGGTATTCTGTGAGGTCGTGGTACCACCCCGGTTTGAGCCCGGCCCATACGTGCAACAGCAAAGCTGCCGCGTGGCTCTACCACTGTTAAAATAATTTTATAATAATATATTATACAGCGTTTCCTTTTATCTCGGTGTCCTTATCTGAAGATTTCACTTCTACCGCGTGTGAACTGCATGCATGTTTTTTATATATACTACCAACGGGCACACAGTCCACCTGATAGTAAGTGAATGTTTTGGTCCATAGACATATACATCTAACCTCGATAAAGAATCTAAATACAGATGCGTTGCCACCAGTAAAAAGGGTTCAACTAAAAACGAAGCATTCCATCTTAGTCCTCACGGGTGACAACGCATCTGCATTTTGATTCGTAATCGAGGATAGATGTTGATGTCTATGGGCGATAGCAACCACTTACCATCAGGTGGACTGTGTGCTCGTTTGTCACCCTATCCTATAAAAAAAAATTAAAGGTCTCCGTTTCTCTACACTGACCTACAAAACAAAGCAGCATTAAGCTGCTTTTTCACACTGGTATTCTGTGAAAGCATGATTCTTCCTCGGTCAAGCTGATTCATTCGTGCTAGAACTATATAATAGCTGCGGCATGACTCTAATACATATAGTCTAAACATCGGATAATAAGCTAAAATCTGATAAATATTACATTCATATTTTGCTTCATACCTCTATCAACAATTGTCACGCTCGTAGAATAGTCTTCACCAGTTTTTAAGCAGGTAACTTTTTCGGCAGCTCCTTTAGATTTATGTCTTAAGTTGCCTGCAGATAAAAATTAGCATATCTTATATGTCGTGTTAATTTAAGAAAACAAGGTCAATCGTTGAACTGTGTGATAAGTGTAATAGTTATAACAAATCCTCCCCTGCTACATGCTATAGTAGAGATATGTATGTAGATGTACAGCGAATAACTACTTCATAAAAAAAAAACTGTGTTGTAGATCTAGTGGTCGCAAACGCGACTGCTGATTATTTACCGCGGATTATTGATTATTATTAGTCGCGAAATGTACAATACTATACATACACTTAAACTCTTTTCTTAATTGCTTTACATATTTTTATTTCTGTGAACATTTTAAAAATATGAACATTGTCATATATTAGATTCGTTATTTATTGATCACCATGTAAATAATTAAAAAAAAACATTACATAATAAAGAAATATGAACCGTTCATAAGTTCACTGCTGAATATAGGCCTGAATAAAGAATGCCTCAAAATTGGATTTTACGATGCCTGCTATTTTTGACGTTGCAACAAAATTGACTTCAATATTACGATGTTCTCATCTAGATTAAAAATCGATTCATTAATTTAATTATACCTCTTTTAGCTTCCATTAGCAGATGTATCATGTCAGGCCTAATGATCTGCTTGGCCTCTCTTTCGGCTATCGAGTTCATGACAAGTTTTTTGAAAAACTCTGTCGTTGATTTAGGGAACATAGTTATGTTGAAAGTCTGTAAAGAAATATAAAAAAATATATATTCTTGTTTTAAGACCAGAATATACAGAATATGTCAATATGTTGGAGCTAATTAAATAGCACATAAGATACACACACACACACACACACTCACACTCACACTCACACACACACACACACACACACACACACACACACACACACACACACACACACACACACACACACACACACATACACAAAACCAGACCCGGACGTAATTATTCCTATTCCAACTATTGCGGAATCATCTCTTGCAGGCGCTATTATTTATTTTAAATTTATTTATGTAGTAAAACAATACTGCCTTAGTTTTTATATTAGCAGCATTAATTTTAAAGGCCGATGATAAGCACGTAATATTAACACTATCTCGATGTAATGAGGTCCAGTGACTAACCGTTTTGTATCGCATTCCAGGGTCCTAAGATACAAGCTGCGCTTAGTTTAGGACCCGCAGCTACCTGTGTTCTTTATAATGTTACTTATTGTTAAAACAAATAAATAAAAAAAAATTAAGAAATAAACAAAATTTTTTTCTTAGAATTACGCACTTATATCAATACAAGATAAGTAATTAAATCTCGCGACAAGCTTTTATATTACATAAATTGTATAATTTATTAATTTACTCAAGTCATTATATATATATATATATATATATATATATATATATATATATATACGTGTATCCACTATTGATACCTTCCATTCCACCCGAACAACACGGCTTCGTTAAAGGTCGCTCGACAACTACCAATCTATGTCTATTTATGAATGACGTCCTACGTGGGATGGACGGAGGTTTGCAGGTTGATGTGATCTATACGGACTTCGAAAAAGCATTCGACCGTGTGGATCATATCATCCTGCTCCAAAAACTACAAGCGCTTGGGATTTGTGGTGATTTGTTAAGATGGTTCCAAGCTTATATTTTTAACCGCAGCCAAGCTGTAATTATAGGTGGTTTCAGATCTGATTACACAAACGTCCCTTCGGGTGTTCCACAGGGATCTCTCCTTGGTCCTCTCCTGTATATAGCCTACATGTATGATATAGGAACGAACATGTTTACAACACGCTAATTTTCTTCTATATGCAGACGACAAGAAAATATATATGAATATAAACTCAGAAAGGAACTGTCAACTCCTCCAAGATGACTTAAATAGACTTGCTCTAAACTATAAAAATAATCGCATAACAGCTAATATTGAAAAATGTATATCAATCACGTTTACCCGTAAAATAAAACCTATACAGTATTCTTACCACATTGACAGTCTTCCAATAACAAAAGCAAACAGCGTTAAAGACTTGGGAGTAACTTTAGATAGCAAACTAACCTTTTCAGAACACATTAGATTAATAACCTTGAAAGCCTACAAAAATCTTGGATTTATCATGCGTGTCACCAAACCTTTCAATGATTTAGGTTGCATTAAAACACTTTATTTTTCATATGTCCGCATCGTGTTGGAATATTGCTCTATTAGTTAGATTCCTCAATACAAAAAATATGTAGCTGCCATAGAAAGTATACAGAGTAGATTCCTGCGGTACCTCAATTACCGGGACAGACACAGGAGCGAAGAAGAATTATTTTTTTCCTTTATGATGTTGATGAGAGTTTTATTATACCAAACAGGATACTGCCGTTTTGGTCTTTGGAAGACACATGGGACGTATTTATTAAGTTCATATATTAGACTGTAGAAACGCGATACAGCGCCCTCAAGCGACCCTACATTAAGTGTATCCTGCCAGTTTGTCTCCTTTAGATGCTTACAGATTTTCGCGTAATCTTCCTTATTATATAAGTATTTAAAATGTCCTTTATATGACATGCGAGGTGTCACGATGTCTGTGGCGTCAATTGTGAGAATGGGATGAAAAACATCTTTGTGTACAAGTGGCGTAATTGATTTAGTAACTACTACATTAAAGTTGGTACATATGAGATCAAGAATATTATTGTGAGTATTTACATGATAGTTATGTTGGTGAAGACCAAGGATATTAATCTGAAATAGTAAGTTTTCTGCAGAGTTCTGCAAATTGGTATTGTCCTTTTTTTATTAGTGTATAACCATTAGGTGTCCATTGAACACAAGGAAGATTGAAATCACCACATATCAAAAACAAATCTTCTGAATTTGAGGACATAACGAAAGACAGTAAATCAGTGAAACTTTGTAAGCTTTGAGGCAACATATTATCTGGAGGAAGGTAAATTGCGCAAATATGTAAATTATGACTAGTACCGAGGTCTCTTGCACCTATCGTAATCCAGAGACATTCAAGGTTTTCATGTGACCAACCGGGCCGAGACTTTGCAGAAAACCGTTCCGCAGTCAGAACCATGATGCCGCCGTCTATTCCCGCCGCGATCCCGGCGAAAGATATTGTACCTACTGTCGGAAAGTTCGGCGTTAAGAATACCGTCGTGCAACCACGATTCTGTAATTATTATTATGTCACTATTACAGTTCAAGATGTTAATGTAGAACTCCTGTGTTTTTGTTCTTAGACCCCTTACATTTTGGTATAGCAGATTCAAAGTATTTCGTTTAATTTTATTATATGTTAATTTTAAACTTAAGACATTTAAGTAGTATATATTGTTTTGTTTTAAAATAGTAGTAAGTAAGCATATATAAAGTGTGCATATTAGAGTCGCAACTAGTTAAAAATTGTGTGATTGTTAGTGATGCATATAATAATACTCGTATGTTTTGACATGATTTAATGAACAAAGTGTGTGTATTGTTTATGTGTATGTGTGTGTTTAAACGCAGATAAAGTTTCGAAAATAATTCTTTAAGTTTTAATTTTAGTTTTAATTCTAATTCATTACAAGAATACAAAACACTAAATAACCAAAAGATAATAAATGATAAAAATACAGATAGTTGGCTTAATAAGCTAAGTGAGACTAAACTATTTTTGTCAAATCTGAAGCAGTGGAGATTAACAGCGGAGGTGAACTGTCGTTGCGTCGTACGTAAATTCGACAGTTTTTTGTCCATACGTAACGATAAGCAGATTCTTTGGCTTTTGTTTTTGCTTCAAGAAGAAGTTTTTTGTTACGAGGTGTTAGGTGTTCATTCACATTGCATCACATCACATTCTCACGCCTGGAATGCCTCGTTTACAGTACTACTCCGCTTCCAGCATTAAGCTGCTATTTTACGCTGGTAATCTGTGAGAGCGTAATCCCAACCCGTTCGAGCCGACCCATTCGTGCTACAAACATAAAATAGCTGCGACGTGGCAATACCACGTTTAAAAGGGTCGTTTATCACGTTCGGTAACGTTCTATTAAGTTAAAGAGTCATGTCATTTTATTTTTCGTATTCTTCCCTCAGAGCCCTGGTAGCTCAGATGGTTAGCGCTCGCATTAAATTTCACAGTACGCAAGTAAACTGGGTTCGATCCCACCACCAATAAAACCACTAATGAAATTGTTAATTGCAATTTTAAGTGCTTATTTACCACGTCCTCGGCGGTGACGGAAAACATCGTGAGGAAACCTGCATGTCAGAGAAATAAAAAAATATTTCGAAGACATGTGAAGTTCGCCAACACGCATTGGGGCGGCGCGGTGGATAATTCCTTGCCCTAAAACCATCTCAAAAATGAGCGGAGGCCTGTGCCCAGCAGTGGGACATATATAAGCTGCAACATTACATTACATTCTTCCCAGTAAGCCCTCTTATGTTATACCCATATTATGAGTATTTATGAAAAATAACTGAGCCTTGTTCTTCCCTACCACATTTGTTTGAGCACCACTAAACTATCCCTTAACTTTGCCGAGTTATAATTCTTTAATATTGGTATCGCGACCATTTTCTTTCTTTTACCCCTTTTTAGTCTTGGTGATGTTCCATCTCTGTCATCAGATCAACTAATGCCATAAATACTAAGTAACTTTTTACGTTACGTGGTAGAGCTATGCCTATGCTGTAGCTATATTATGGTTGTAGCACTAATGGGTCGGCTCGACCGGTGAAGGACCACGCTCTCACATAATACCAGCGTAAAATAAATACATACTTTAACTAGCAATTAGATGGCTGCAATAACAATTTTACTCAATAGTTTTACATCTACGTATTACAACAGCCTTTAGCGCGACAAGAGAATCTAGACAGAGGGAAACTGAAAAAGGAGGTGGGTATTTTCCTAATTATAACTCAAAATAATCAAAAATGGCGGTGGGGGAGACCTGTTACTTTTCCCTCACATTACACCTTGTCCTGTGTGGAAATTGTCTGGAAGAAATTGTTGCATCGCAATAAGACCGCCTTTTTTTCTCTTTATTTCTTTCTTGTTATGTTGTTTTCTTAGTGTTCAATAAAGGGTAATGTATTGTATTGTAACTATCCCTATTTACACGCAACGAAATCTTACGTCAGTGCACATAGGCAGCACAGCTACGGTAGTATATATATATATATATATATCATCTTTATAGCCCGCCCTTCACAAGTCCACTGCTGTACATAGGCCTCCCCCAAGTAATGCCACAAGAGGTCTGTGCATAATTCGACTTCCTGCATGTCTTACCAGGTTGTCACTCTATCTAGTGGGGGGTTGCCCTACACTACGCCTACCGGTACGAGGCTGCCACTCGAGAACCTGTCCTCCCCAACTTCAGCTTACTAATCCGTTGGGCTATGTCGGTCACTCTGGTTTTACTGCGGATATGCTCATTTCTGAGTCTATCACGCAGAAAACTCCGAGCATAGCCCTCTCGATAGCTTGCTGAGTGACCTTGAGCGTCCTCACACGGCCAGCAGTGAAGGACCACGTCTTAGATCCGTAAGTCATCACTGGCAACACGCAGTGGTTGAACAATCTAGTTTTCAGAGTTTAAGGTATACCTGACGAGAAGATGTGTCGTAATTTCCCGAACGCTACCTAGTTACCGAGGTAGCTACGTTATCACCGAGTTGAATCCGTCGATTGACCTCTCGGTCGAAGTTGGACTTACCTAGTCGGACTATTTGTCCCAGGTAAATGTACTCGTCAACAACTTCGAGCAACTTTGTGTGTGTGTATATCTCCAGAATGAGGTTACACCTCTTAGCTAGCCTTAAATTATATTGATCTTTGTTAACCTGTTGTGACCTGTACGGAAGCTCTTCCAATACTGTCAGTCGCTAAAGTAAACAATGATATCTTTTTAATTTTGTATGCCAGCTATATATTAAACGAATCTTTATGAATTAAGATATTTAATTGTATATACAATTCTACTTTTGTACATATTTGTATCAATCTCATTTCGATTTTGTGTGACAAAATTTTACGAATGACGCATAAACGCTAGCCGCCCGATGAAAATCGAAAGAAACCAGCAGTGGACACTTCTTTTAGTTCAAACATTCTAGATAGCTATGCATGGTAAAATTGGCAAATTTAATATAGTAATTCTATCTATGGGAATATTATGTACGTTATAGAGTGAATTTAAATTTTATCCACTCTCCCTCCCCCTCTCGGGTGAGCGTCCTAGAAAATTTCCCGAGGTGCGGCTTTTTCACTTTTAAAGAAAACCATATATGATAATATAATAAATATATAGTATATAATAATTATTTTTGTGTTATTTTAAGCATTTATAAGTACCAGATATTGTTATTAAGGAGTGTGAAACGATAAACTGTTCCGTTGCCGACAAACTGGCTTACAGTTTGGCAAAATTTAAAATGTAAATCATGTATATTCTTTATAAGAATAAATAAAAAAAAGGAGAAATAAATTATACCTTCTTTTAAACAGCTTATTCTATGCTTTACTTTAGTCATACATATGGCGGGAAAGTTCGCAATTTTTGAGAAAACTAAACTTTGAGCTAAAAAATAAATAAATCATAAAAATGTTCATATTTGTGACAGATGGCGAAATGGTGGAAACTATATGTTATATTGGTTTTTGTATATATAAGAGGTTAAGGCCGAATACGACGCGAATGACCTTGCTCGTTTCGCAGCAAACTACGTGCCGCCCGTACGCTTTGTTTATATAGACATGTATAATACAATCAAAGCCGTACGGGCTTTGATTATATTATATTTGGCTGAGCTAGCTCAGTATGCAGAGTAATGAACAACACAGAGAGCATTGCTTACTTCTTAAATAAATCTTTCTTATTTATAATATTAGTTCCTATAGATTATAAATTCTGTACTTTATTCGTTATAAAATATTGTTCGAAAAGTTATTGAATAGATAACGGTTTTTTTTTCTTAATTGGTGCATCGTACGTAAAGTACCTCATATAACTGAAAATGTTTGTTCTTGTGAGTCTTACAAGATGCCGTAATGCAAATTGCATAAATAATAAAGAAAAAAAAACTAAAAAGTCGGCGATTGCCCCATAGTGGGGATAGGTCTGTGTATGTAAATTCTCACAAGAATACTCCGACTGGTCAATCACTTCACATCCGAAGTATTTCGGTTTTTCTTAATTATGTACTTACCCCATGCTTTCGGACAATACATTGACTATGACATTATTTGCGGTCTCTGTGCTTGCACTACTCTGTACATTCTTTTCCGATTGGGTCTTGATATTTACATTTTTAGTGTTTCTCACTTGAAACTAGAAAAGTATGAATGATCAGTTTGACTAATGTAAATTAGTAAAAATACAACCTATTAGGCAGCCTCAAAGAAAAAATTACCTTACAAAAATATAAGTATTAACCTCAAAATACAATATTCGAGCAGCGTTCATGCGATAAACTCTCTTTGTTTTACCACTTAGGTAACATTTATTTCTTTTCCTACGCATATTTACATTTATAGTCACTTAAACGCGTATAAAACACTAAATTAACGATTTTCGCTACAGACACATCGACTGTTGTTACCTTACGTCACACGTCGAAGCGCCTGGTAATTTATTACGGCAAACTTTTATCTGGCAATATACGATATTATTATTAGGTGTTTTTAATTAAAACGATTATTTTTGTTTAGCGCAGGCACCTTCGGAATCACAATACAAACATTTTTACGTAAAAGAATTTATCCTAAATTAAAATTCACAGAGTTTTGGAAGAACAATCATTTTTAAATATCATTTCTTAACATTTTTTTTTATTTGTTGGTATATTCATTTATTTTAAAATTTTAAAACTGCGGGAACCTTGTGAAGGAACCGAACAAACCTACAAAAAATATTTTATCGCTTAGAATTACTTCAGGTCTAAGTTGTAGTGAAGAGAAATACATTAAATTTCGCCAGTTCTCTTCGTATTCGGCCTTAATAGCAAAATCAAGGATCATTACGTACCTACACACTATTCGTGTATCGGGTACGGTGTTCACGTTAAAACTAAAATATCCGCGCTTCCGGACATTTTTGGGACGCGGGAGGGGGGGGGGGGGATTTGCAAAATTTTCACCCCAAATATTGAGACGTCATGTCATGTCGCGCGGATCAGACGCGTGATATATACAGGTGAAATCGCGGAGGATAGCTAGTGTAATATATGAGTTCCTTATTTTTAACTTTCTAGTAAAAGTAAAACGAGCAAAGAAGCAAAGAAGACTATGGATGCGTTGTCACCTCTGAAGACCAAGATGTAATGCCTCAGCCTATAATTATACTTTTTCTCTGCACCCATCAGATCGGAACACATTAGTGCAAACACTGCTTTTTCGCGGCAGAAATAGGGTAACGGAAGCCATAAGATTATTACGGCAGTTCCTATGGTTGCTTTTTACGACGTGCACATGACAAACTGAACTTTTCTTACTCCGCTATCACACAATCATCTAATAACTTTAATCGGGTAAACGTTTTTATAATCAGATATAAGTTCCTTATCATGATGCAAATAAAAACTTTTTATTCAATATAGATTACAAATAAAATATATTGAAAGTCAATCTTGTATCATGTATCATTTATGACTGCACGAAAAATACCTCTGTCCACCGAAGAACTAGCAAGTTTACAATTATTAAAGTTACTCAATAACTAACAACACAAAACAAATTAAAAGATAATGGTAGCGGTTATCTCATTCCCAGGGAATATTATCATCCATCCATCGCTTTATTAGTTTTTAAACTTGGCGGAAGTCAAAGCAAAATTGATACTTACCTTGTTGAGAAATGGCCAAGAATCTAAAGCGAAAAATTTGAGTAACTCTTTAAAATTAAATGTAGATGCTAAATTGGCCATTTTGTAGAAAATATTATTGCGGTCAGTGTGCGAATCCACTTTCAAACCAAATGCGCAGGAAGCAATCACGTCATTTGCATACCGTGTTGTTAGGTCCCTACAGTCGACGTCGATGAAGCCCGCTGTTGACAAATTTTACTTTAGTAGATCTAATTTAATGTTAATTACTTGAATCAGGCGTTACTTTTTGGAAATTCATTATATTAAAAATGTTAAAAATTAATAAGCTAAGATCTGCATATTAAAATAAAATTGTCTTACGTAGTTTGAAAAGCAACTCTTCCCTCCCCCTAAATTACGTGCATTATTCCCGTCACCACTAATCTAAGACGACTACTCCCAACACCACTCTATTAGGAGATAAACACCACCGTCAATAATACGGCACGTGTTTGACCTCTTAACGAGGCCTTCTCAGGTGAAGTAGACTGTGGCGTGACTGACTGATAATTAGCGGATTTACTACGCGGATCTTAACTAATTAATTTTTAACATATTTAATTGAAATTTAAGTTATCTTCAACTTTGTATTAAACATAACAAATAAATCAAAAAAAATTGTATAAGAAGGAACACTTTTTTATAAAAGATAAGGGTCTCAAACGAAAACACACTCCACCTGATGGTAAATGAACGCTGTCGCTCATAGATATGTATATTTAACGTCGCTTTGGAGTGCAAATAGTCGCGAAATGCAAAATTCTTATAATAAAAAATATTTTTTTAATTTTTTGTCTGTCTGTTTGCTCCAGCTAATTTTCGAAATGGCTTTACCGATTTTGACGTATATTTCACCGGCAGATAGCTGTAATATCAGTTAAGGGGTAACTTAGGCTTTTATTTTAGAACTGCGCCAAAAAATATCGAAACTAATGTAATCCAATCGGTATAAATTCCACGCGAAGAAATTCCCAGACATCTTTCAATGTATTCGATTAATTTGTTATGGACATTTTCATAAAATTTTTTCGACTCAATTGCTACTTACTTTCCGTATTTTGTAGCTTCATTTTAAGTGATTTTAGCATCTGCTCTCCTACTTCATTCATGAATGTTACCATCGAACGTATTTTTGAGCTCGTGAAGGCAGGGCTTAATGTTGATCGCATGTCTTTCCATTCTTGACCTATGAAACATACATAAATTTTTTTACAACAATGAACAATGATCTACGACTTTTTCTATTGCTAGGGAGGCGCCGCATAGAAATGAGGTGAAATATTTGACAGATTCTATGGCGAGGGAAAGTAATTTGTTAGAAAATTGTAGAGATTATTGTTTACTTCTGAAATATATGTAATGTTACGTTTGCAGCAGCTTAGGGAGGGTTAAAGTGGAAAAAGACGAAGACTTTTTCCTATATTACTTTTATGTATTATTTTTATGTGTATGACAATGTTAGTACACAGGAATACTAGACTAGTTAACTTACAAACTAACTTAGTTACTACTGGGCTGTCTTAACAATTATGCCTTGGTTTTTATATCTATGGCAACTTAAAGTAATGCCGTTTGGATTATGCAATGCTCCAGCAACGTTTGAAAGGCTGATGGAGCTTGTACTTACTGGGATAATATTGGCGATGCCTGTCTGGTCTACTTGAATGACATCATCATCGTAGGTCACCTTCAAAACCTGGAACGCGTGCTCATGAAGATTCAGAGTGCCAACTTTAAGTTGAGTCCAAAGTCCGGATCACTATTCAAACGGCTAGCCAACTTTTTGGGCTATGTAGTGTCGGAAGAAGGTCACGGATCCGGAGAAAATCGCCGCTGTCAAGGATTGGCTGGTTCCAAAAGACAAGACGCAGGTTAGAGCATTTTTGGGTTTGTGCTCTTATTATCGGCGATTTGTGAAGAACTTTGCAGATATAGGCAAAACTCTGCAGAAGCTAACCGAGGAGAAGTGAGATTTCTGCTGGGATGAAAGTTACAATATCGCATTCCAGGAGCTCAAAGATCGTCTGTGCAAAACACCTATTTTGGGATACCCTGATGCAAGCAAAGAATTTATAGTTGACACAGACGCAAGCGGTGTAGGACTTGGCAGTGTGTTGTCTCAACGGAATGGTGACCAAGAGGTCATGATAGCGTACTTCAGCAAGTCGTTTTTAAAACCGGAAAGGAACTATTGTGTCACAAGACGCGAAATGATAGCTGTGGTAAAGTCGTTGTAGCATTTTAGCAAATGTCTTCTGGGGTGAAAATTTCACTTACGAACTGACCATTCTGCACTAAAATGGCTATTGTAGTTTAGAAAATTCAGAAGGACAAGTTGCGAGCTGGATTGAACTACTGCAGGAATACGACTTTGAGATCGAACATCAACGAAACGCAGATTCATTGTCAAGAAGACCTTGTCCTGAAGACTGCAAACATTGTACTAGGCAAGAGAGTAAAGAAGTGGTATCCGTGAGGATGCTCAGCGATGAGTTCGACCACTAAAAGCTATTGGGCCCAGTAGGACAGCTTGCTGCTTCAGGATGGAGTTCTGTGCCATTAATCCAAATGGTTGTCCAAAGAGGAGTGTTCAGGCCATAATAATTGTTCAGGAGGCCATCTGGGAGTTAAACGAACTCGATCCGAGAACGGTTTTACTGGGTCCACTGTCGACACGATGTCAAGGACTGGTGTCGCAAATGTACAAGTTGTGCGGCTGTAAAGGGACCTCAGACTCATAGTAGAGGTGCATTGAAATTGTACAATGTTGGTGCATCATGGGAGAGAATAGCCATTAATGTAGCGGGGCCGGAAAGTGAAAACGGTAACAAGTATTTCACGGTTGTGATGGATTACTTCACTAAGTGGCCAGAAGTCTTTGCAATTCCAAATCAAGAAGCTTCAACAGTTGCAGATAAACTAGTTCATAAAATCTTCTGTCGTTTTGGAGTACCTTTAGAGATTCACAGCAATCAAAGAAGGAATTTTGAGTCTCAAATATTCCAGGAAACTTGCTGAGTTATGGGTACTCAATAAAAAAGGACTACTTCTTATCACCTGCAATCTGATGGAATGGTAGAACAATTTAATCAGACATTGGGGAGGTACCTAGTAAAAGTTGTAGACAATCGGCAACGAGATTAGGACAAGCACATATCACCGTTTTTGTTGTCATATCGAAGCGCTGTTCACGAAAGTACATCAGTGACACCAGCTTTCGCAAACTTTGGAAGAGAATTACGATTACTGATCATCAGGATACCACCTGATGCCCCACGCAGTATAACCGATTATGCAAGTGACTTGTGGAATAAATTGAATGACATTTATGAGCACGTCTGACAATAGGGCCAGCAAATGTCCGAAAAGATGAAAACCCGATATGACCGCAAAATGAATAACAAAGGGTTCGACGAAGGTTCACTAGTGTGGTTGCATAATTCAATCCGCAGCAAAGGGAAATATCCTAAGCTTCAAGCTAAATGGGACGGCCCGTACCGGATTGTGACCAGGATCAACGATGTAACTTACCGGATACAGAAAGGCGCAAGAGTGACTCGGAGGGAAGATCGTCCATGTGGATAGCCTGGCGCGTTATTATGGGACCGATAATGCCCGGGACGAGCATGTCTTAGGAGGGGGCGGTGTTGCACGACTAAGTTGACATCCGGTACTTTGGCTTTAGGGACAACCATTTGAAAATGACAGCTGTCTCCCCGAACATTTTCCCATTTACGGCACAGAACTCCATCCTGAAGCAGCAAGCTGTCCCACTGGGCCCAATAGCTTTTAGTGGTCGATGCTGAGACGTCGCTCCACTTGGGCTTGGGAGCACTGGCCTTCATCCATTCTAGAATCGGCTTGATGTCCGGATCTTCCTGCTGTGCACGTTGTAAGCTGTACTTCCTGTCGTTGCTGAGGTGGTCTGCCCTGAGCATCCTCACGGATACCACTTCCTTACTCTCTTGCCTAGTACAATGTTTGCAATCTTCAGGACAAGGTCTTCTTGACAATGCATCTGCGTTGCCGTGAGATTTTCCGCTGCGATGTTCGATCTCAAAGTCGTATTCCTGCAGTAGTTCGATCCACCTCGCAACTTGTCCTTCTGGATTTTTAAACTGCAATAGCCATTTTAGTGCAGCATGGTCAGTTCGTAAGTGAAATTTTTGTCCCAGAAGATATTTGCTAAAATGCTGCAACGGCTTTACCACAGCTAGCAATTCGCGTCTTGTGACACAATAGTTCCTTTCCGGTTTTTGACAACGACTTGCTGAAGTACGCTATCACGACCTCTTGGTCACCATTCCGTTGAGACAACACACCGCCAAGTCCTATATCACTTGCGTCTGTGTCAACTATAAATTCTTTGCTTGCATCAGGGTATCCCTAAATAGGTGTTTTGCACAGACGGTCCTTGAGCTCCTGGAATGCGATATTGCAACTTTCATCCCAGCAGAAATGTAGCTTCTCCTCGGTTAGCTTACGCAGATGTTTGGCTATATCTGCAAAGTTCTTCACAAATCGCCGGTAATAGGAGCACAAACCCAAAAATGCTCTAACCTGCGTCTTGTCTTTTGGAACCGGCCAATCCTTGACAGCTGCAATTTTCTCTAGATCCGTGTGGATACCTTCTTCCGACACTGCATACCCCAAAAAGTTGATTTGCCGTTTGAATAGTGAACATTTCTTCGGACTCAACTTGACGTTGGCACTCTGAATCCTTATGAGCACGCGTTTCAGGTTTTGAAGGTGTTCCTCAAACGTACGGCCCACGATGATGACGTCATCCAAGTAGACCAGACAGGCATCGCCAATTAGCCCGGTAAGTACAAGTTCCATCAGCCTTTCAAACGTTGCTGGAGCACTGCACAGCCCAAACGGCATTACTTTAAATTGCCACAGACCCTTTCCCGTCGAGAACGCAGTTTTCTCCTTGTCCAAATCATTGTCATCATCAACAATCAATCATTAATTGGGTCAATTTCAACTTGCCAGTAGCCACTTTTTAGATCCAGCGTGCTAAACCATTTTACTCCTGTAAGCATGTCCAGCGTGTCATCAATTCTTGGCAAGGGATAGCTGTCCTTCTTCGTAACGTCGTTCAGACGGCGGTAGTCAACACAAAACCGCATGCTGCCATCCTTCTTCTTCACCAGCACCACGGGTGAACACTATGGACTAGAGGAAGGTTCAATAACACCGTCCTTCACCATTCCTTCAATCATGGTTTCTACTTCCTTTTCACGTGCTACCGGCAATCTTCTTGGCCGCTGCGCGATAGGCAATTCTTCTCCTGTATCTATTTTGTGTTGAACTAAGCCAGTCTTTCCTATGTCAGCACCATTTGATGAGAATACATCGGCGTGCTTGAGTAACAACTTTTTTGCCTTGACCATTTCGTTCGGGGAGAGAACGCTGCGACAGTCTTCTAAATGTGTGCTCACTCTGGTTTGTGCATCCTTGCTGGGGGTGCCAGTCGATAGATATTGGCACCGACGTAGCCAATCCACTTCTTCACAAGCACCAACTAGTGTGCCTTTTTCTATAATCTGTTCCTAGTCACAAAGGTTCAGCACACGTACTCCTGAGATGTCAGTGGTTCTGACCAAGATTCGAGCTACTTTCCATGGAAGGTCATTGTTTACCCTTTCCACAAGTACACAATGGTGAGCTTGCCCAGCGTTTCGAGGAAGACTAACCGGCACAATCGTTTCCGATCTCGGCGGAAGAACAATCTTCTTAATGCTGTACACGTTCCCTGGTAACGCACCTTCCATAAAAAGTTCCTCCTGTCCACATTTCAAAATACCTTGATTAACGTCGATTTCACAACAATTATCCCTCATAAAGTCTAGGCTCAGGATGCAGTCGTCCATTATATCAGCCACGATGAGATTATGCAGGTAGATCACGTTGCCTAGTTTCAACTCCATCTCCTTCTCTCCACGGACGGGTATACGCTGACCGGTGGCTGTTACCAAATTAATGCGTTCTCGGTTGTATGCGGAGTTCCCAAGGAACTGACTTATAAGTTGGGAACTAATAACCGTACGAGAGGCTCCAGTAATTATGGTCAGCTTACACGGCATTCCGCTGACCTCGCCCTTGATGATTAGACTGTTCCCATCATGGGTTTGTGAGATCGAGATCCTTGGGGCTCTTTTAACATCAGCCAGCACCCGCCCCGCAGTTCTGGCTTTTACTCGTTTCCCTGCTGCTGTTGGGCGGTCCTGGTGGCCGCACTACCCTCCTGAGATCGTTCACCTTCCCTTTCTAGGGTTCGCTTAGGGCAGCTGGATCGAAGATGGCCCCTTTCCCCACAGCCATAGCACCTAGGGCTGTATCCTTTGTTGCGGTCGCGAATTGTAGCTGCTGCAACCTCCCTGATGCGATGGGAACGATGATCCTGCCGCACGGCTTCCACCTCCAGTGCATGGGCCAAGGCGTCCTTAAGCGCCTCGTGGTGCCCGGGCCTTACAGCAGCTCTGACTTCCAGGTCGCGAATGCTGACGATGAATGTTTGCACCAGGTTCCCTTCAATGAGCGCAGGTACAGACCGGTATGCTTTTCGCACCAGCTTCTCCACCTATAGAGCCCACTGCTGCAGGTTCTCATTGATGCGCTGCACGCGAACTTTAAGATGCGCAAGACAGACGTGTTCCAGGTGAGCGTCGCCATATCTCGCCTCCAATGCCTCAAGGAGTTGCTCATAAGTCACTTCCTCACCGAGAGCTTCCAGAACAGTTAAGGCCTGGTCGCGCAGGCCTAGTGTGAGAGCAGTCATGGCCTGACTTTTATTCCAGCCATTAGCCTTCATAACAGCCTTAAACTGGACTTTGTAGGCTGACCAGGAAGAAGTCCCGTCGAACGGTGGCACTTTGAAGCCACGTAGCGAAGGTGTTGTAGCTACTGCGGGGGCTGCAATTCCATCTCCAAATTTGAGTTCATCCAGCGTTTTCTTAACTTGGTTGATTTGGGTCTCAGCTTCCGACAGGAGGTTATCATGTTGAGCAACCTTATCCTTCACCTCCCTTATCTCTTTCCCGAAGGTAGCGTGAACGTCCTTCATGAGAAGCATCTGCTCTGCCTTGTCGCGTTTGAGCTGCTCTTCTAAGCGACGGGCCTGTTCTTCCTGTCGGCGGGCCTGTTCCTCCTGCTGCTCATTCAACAGACGGGCCTGTTCCTCTTGTACGCGCTGCAGCTGCTCCTGTAGCATCGCCATCAGAGCACCTAAGTCAGGTGCTGCAGATGTAGGAGCTAATGACGGGCCTGCAGCCTCTGTGACTGGCAGTTGGCCCTCCGACGTCGGCAGCGTTGCAACACCAAATTTCCTCTGGTCCGTCTCCTGCTGGCGTTGACTTCGGGTACGGACACCCTCCGATTCCTCCTTCGGTAAAATCGGCATGATTTGATCCCACTTCTGATACCAATTGTTACGAGCTTGAGGTTCTTGACAATAAAAACTGCCGATTGAATTACCGAAATTAACACTTTAATTCACTTTACACTAATGGTTTCTTAAATTTACACGAACACAACACATTGAATAAAACTAAATTTTACGGATTTTATCGCGTTTATTTAACTGACACTTTCACAATTTTACCATCTGACAAAGTAACTGCATTTTTAGGCCACCTTAACTCCATAAACTCTAAAATACAATTAACAATGGAGTTAGAGGCAAATAATTCTTTAGCTTTCCTAGATGTTTTAGTCATTCGAAATCCTAATAACACTATTGGTCACACTGTGTATAGGAAGAAGACCCATACCAACCGATATTTAAATGATGAATCTCACCATCATCCTTCGCAGTTAGCTACCGTGGGTAAATCTTTGTTTCAGAGAGCACGATGGATCTGTGACAGAAAACATCTGGCCGCCGAGCTTCGAGCACGACAAGCAAGTATCGCAAGACAACAAGATTCGGGTCCCGCGCCTTCGTCACAGTTACCGAGTGAAGCCGGTCACAGTCGAGCGTGTACCTGCTGTACTACCATATGTCAGAGGAGTCACAGACAAGGTTGGCTACATCTCGAAGCGAGCTTCCACTAAAACATATTACAAGCCGCCGAAGAAGATTAGTCAATTTTTACCATTCGTCAAGTGTAATATCCCTCTACAAGATGCAGGAGTGTACAAGTTAGATTGTGAATGTGGTCTCTCTTATATAGGTCAAACAAAAAAGATCGATAAAAACCCGAGTGAAAGAACATATAGCTGACGTGACGTGACGCTCCGGGAAGTCTGCAGTCTGTGAACATGTTCAAGATCGACCCCACCATTACATCAGATTTGATAAACCACAAGCCCTGCAAAAGAACATCGATTCCTACCAAGGATGATACGTGAGGCTATTGAAATTAAAAAAACATCCTAATTTCAATAGAGAAGATGGATGGGTGCTGCCATCTGCTTGGGATCCTATAATTAACAAAATTAAACTCAAACCCAAGCATACCACTGCAAGACTTCAAGATACTATATATAATAATATAATTCTATAAACACTCGCGCCTGTCATCCAGAGGGGTAGGCAGAGACTACGGACTTCCATTTGGCACGATCCTGACATACCTCTTTCGCCTCCTTTACATCCATATATCTACGCATACATGCTCGTCGGTTAAGGGTACTTCTAACGTGGCCCCTTTTTCAAAATATCGCCAATTTGGTCGATAAACTTTTTTCTAGGGCGTCCCTTCCCGACTCGGCCATTCACATCTGCCATATAAATTTGCTTTGTCACTCTTTCCTCATTCATTCTTTCTACATGACCAAACCACCGAAGCATTCCTTTCTTAATCCTGGTCACAACATCATCTTGCATAGCACATTTATCTCTTATCACGCAATTTCTCACCCTGTCATTCAGATTCAACCCTAGCATACTCCTTAAAGACCGCATTTCTACAGCATTAATTCTACTTTCGTGCTTATTCTGCCACACCAAGCTTTCACTACCATACATTAAAGTAGGGACTAACACAGCATTATGAATTACCATACGTGCCTTTTTTTGACACATTCTGGTTCTTCATAATAGAGTGTAGTGCCCCATTCACTCTATTCCCTGCATTTACTCGTCGTTCTATATCCCTATCATATCTACCATCCCTGCTAAATACACATCCCAAATACACAAACTCATCCACTTGCTCAATTAACTCTCCTTCTATTCTTATTTCACATACCGTTTTTCTTTCTTCTCTTTCAAAAACCATCACTTTCGTCTTACTTGCGTTCACTTTCATTCCCCTTTCTTTTAATTCCCAGTTCATTAATGTAACCATCATTTGCAACTCAGCCGCCGATGACGCAAATATGACTTAATCATCGGCATAGAAAAGGAATTTGACGGTTAACTCGCCCATTCTTAACACACATTCTTCATCTTTCAAAGTTTGCAAACACCTGTCCATACATAGGTTGAACAGCCAAGGGGAAGCTACACAGCCCTGTCTGACACCTTTTTGGATGCCAAACCAGTCCGAGTAGAATGGGGTCTACTCGGACTGACACAAGCACTAGAGTCCCTATAAAGAGACCTTAATGCCTGTAACAAACCAGCGCTCAACCCATATGAGTTCAGTGTTTGCCATAACACATTCCTGTCCACTCTATCATAAGCCTTTTCCAAGTCCATGAACGCACAAAAAACTTTCTGGTTTTTGGCCAAAAACTTCTCCGCAATCATGCGCATGGAAAAGACTTGATCTGTACACCCCATTCCCTTTCTAAAACCCGCTTGCACATTCCAAATTTTTCCATCAGTTTCTTTCATAACTCTTTCAATTAACACCTTAGCATACATTTTACCCACAATACTAAGCAAGCTGATACCACGGTAGTTTTTGCAGTCCTGCTGTGACCCTTTTCCTTTATATATTGGTACTATAACTGCTTTATACCAGTCATCCGGTACCCGTTTTAATTCCCAACATAAATTAAACAAGGTACAGCAGGCCCGCCACCACTCCCTCTCCAGCCCTTAGCATCTCCAGTGATACTCTATCATATGCCTCTCTGCCTTCCCTGCTTTCATGCTTTTCATTGCTTTCATTATTTCATCTATACTTATCTCCATACCCCTTTCCACTTCTTTCGGAATTTCTAGTTCATTTAATTCAGACGACTCTTCACTCATAAACACGCTTTCAAAGTATTCCTTCCATCTGTTTAAATTCGAAACTTCATCATTCAGAATACATCCATTCTCGTCTCTTATATCATTTATTATAAGCTGTTTTGTATTTCCCCAGGCAGTTCTTACGAGTTTCCAGAACATTTTTATGTTAACCTGGAAATTATCAGATATCCTTCTATCATTCTTATCCGTTCTTTCTTTCTTTTTCCTTTCAACAACTTCTTTTACTCTCTTATTTAGACGTCTAAATTCTGCCTTTTTTCTTTCAATCTCATCATTCATACCAGAAGAATTACCAGCTTTGGTTGCTAGTAAATCTAACCATGCTTTCTTCTTTGATTCAACTTCCACCCGTACTGTGTTGTATATTCTTAAGTCACGTGCTGTTATTTGTTTAGCACGCGATGCTGTATAGTAGGTGACTTTCTGATTGCTTGCAAGGTCTCGGTAGGTATATGTAACTTGTTTATATAAATTAGATTAGAAATAAATAAAACAAACCACGGTCAAACCTAATAATACAAAAGTTAAAAAGAACTTATTACTGAGGCATTGTTTTGTGTATATACATACAATAAAAACCGAAAAATTTCTCTATAAAAAGTAACTTTTTAATGATGATAATACTGTTTGGCCGTTTGCGTGACAAATAATTTCAGCTCAGTCCCGATCCACCGGATGATATGTAGAAATAGATTCTCTTACGCTGCTTCTACACGGTGCCACACAATATCACACTCAAAAATACTCGCAGATAATACCAGCGTGAATTGGCAGCGTGATGCTGCTGTATTTTGGTGTGTATGGAGTGTAGTGACAAGAACTGGAGGCCCTTTTACCGGTAACGTGGCATTCTATATTAGTCCTCAGGGGTAAAAATGTATCTACATTTTGTTTTTTATTTGAGGGTAGATGTAGGAATCCACGGGCCAAAATATCTGTTTACCATGAAAAAGACTATTTGATTGTATTTTACGCTTACTTCTGTAAAAAGTAACCTTTTAATGAAAAAATATTCCTCCCGAAAAATGGATCCACTTTAACGTCCAAGAACACACGATGATCTAAGAAGTGGTCGATGTCTTTGACGCATATCTTCTTTATCAGTTCAATGTCTCGTATCATAACCACTGGCCTCAAAAATTCATATCTGCCAACGAACCTTTAAATAAATAATACAAATATATTTTATACATTTATTAACTGATAAGTCAATATTAGTACATACATAGGTACAAGTATGCGTGTATTAAAATGTATAAGTAAAAAGTTGTGCGATGTCCAAACAGGGTCGCAAAAAGGGTTTAAAATATTGTATTAAAAGGTTTAATATAATATAGGGATATTTATTGAATATAACCTTTGGGAATGAGGTCATCGCTACCAAGCTATTTCTGTTATGAGTAGTTAATTTTGTAACATAATATATTTGTGTTTGGGCGCAAATAAAAATTATTCCAGAGTAGCCGATAAACTTGTTTTGCAAATGCCTGCTCACAACTCAAAATTTTTTCGTTCCTCCTTTTGTGTCAAAACAATGAAATTGTGGAACTCACTTCCCTTAACAATTAAGGAAGCCCAAAGCATTGAGTCTTTCAAAAACAAGGTTATAAATTATTATTTGTTACAAAAATATTTATTTTATGTGAGTATAATATCATGTATCTCATAATTATATTGTCGACGATATACAGCTTATACTAGCAATATATACTTGTTTATCTACTATTTATGCACACTTCTTTTTGTTTAAATGAAAAAGATCTTCACCAAGGTTTGCCTGGAAGAGATCGCTATTTAGCGATAAGGCCACCTAATTGTTCATTTTATAAATTTCATTTTGTTATGTTTCGTAATTTTTTGTGTGCAATAAAGACTATAATAAAACATCAAACATAGCAATGACTTTAACAAATAGTTTCTATTTTTATTCCTGTCGAAATCGATCCCACCTCAGAGATAATCTGTTTGATGCCACACTGATTTTCGGTACCGTTATTAGAAAAAAAATTACAAAATAAACGTGAGCTTATTATTTAAACAGTGAAAGTGTAAAAAATTAGTAACAGGGAATCATCAAGTAGAAGAGATCACAAAAATATTTGATTAACTTGTATGTCAAACAAATATTAGAGTTTTTGTACTACTCACACAGTATGAAAAACGTACAGCGTAGTGTAAGAACCCAGTGAAGAGCGTTTGGCGGGGCGTGCAGCGCGGCGTCGCGTTTCTAATACACCTTAAGCGTCCTTCAAGCAGGACACTTTATAACAACAGTGCGTGTGTATGCGTGTTTACCGTGTAGGGGCGGGGTGAGAATATCCACTACCACATGTTGATCTGTGGGTGTCCTTAGACGAGACAGAAGAAAACAAACCAGGAGATGGGCAGCAGCGTCCTACAGATAACAATTAAAATTAAAAATGCAATTGCCAACCCGTCTGCCAAGCTTGATTACTATGGCTATATAAATATAAATAAATATCCCTCCCATAAGACAATCTATGGGAGAGGCCTAATTCCAGCGGTGGACTTTGATGGTCTTTAGCGATATAACGGACGGACGGACTTTACATTTCACGGTCCGCCAATGCATTCTACAGAGGATTTAACCTAATTCTAAGGTGCAACTGCGTGCCTAATTAATTATTATTACTTTTTAAATTAATTTCAGTGCTTTTTTACGTAAATGTCCGATTGTTCGTGAATCAATTAGGGTTCCGACTTAAAACCAGTGCTGTGGTAACCAACAGGTTATTACTGAGGCGGATTCCTTTTTAATAGCATACTACTACTTAAGTACCAATTTGTAATTTGTACTAAGAAATTTAAAAAACTTTACCCACTCACTAGGATTTTCTCTTGAATCGTGGAGGCAGTTTATATACATAAAATGTACAAGGACAAACATCCAGATCCGGAACAATTACTTGTAGACCATACAAATACTTGTTCCGTGCGGTATTCGAGCCCGCGGCCCTCAGCGCTATAACTCATTGCTAAGCTACCTACGCCACGGAGACTTCAATTCTATGTTACTTAATATTGTGTGTTGGTCAAATAAATGTTTTTTTCTTTCTTTCTATTGCTTATTAGTTCTTCTTCTTAAAAAGACATTTAATCCACTGCTAGACATTCTTCTTTTTCTTCTTCTTTACACGTACAACGAATTGATAACTGTAATACCAGGCAGCTCATATTTTTGACGTTGATCCCTGATTATAGTTACTGATTATACCGCCATTAATTGAAAGCTATTTTTCTATAATTTGCCATTGTCACCTTTTAGTAATTATATCATGAAAACATTGAAGTAATATGAACAAAATGCTAGAAGAAACGCCGCGTTAGAGTCCACGGGCTCAAATTTATATAGTCTGCGCTTTAAAAACGTATTTTGAATGTACCTACTTCAATGTCTCCAGACATCGGTCATCCAGATATCGGTCACGGCAGCCAATCTCATCAGAAACTAGCTATCTGCGTAGGAGAGAGCTATATAGCCCGAGTGTGTATCCAAACGCAGGTACACTTTTTGTAGCATAATCCTCTTAGTTCAATGGGATGGTAATCCGGCTCGACCAAAGAGAGATCAAGTGCATAATTAGCGAATTTAAGTGCTTTCCGAGGCTTGGGGGTGAAACACCATCAACTTTTTGACTCGAGGTCTGCTACTGAGTCTTTTTTGAACCCAATGTTGGCCCGACCCGGGATTCAAACGCGGGAACCTCATTAAAAGCAATTGTGTTTTCAACCACTAGGCCAAACTAAGTAATCATAATCATTCATAGTCACCTCTTACGATATCAATTGGACAAGAAGAGATAATGGATTGCCTTACGTCGACATTTATTCTTGCACACGAAAAATATATTTTATTGTCTCAAAAATCAAAAAATTACCTTTCATCTTGAAATGCGTTGTACAGCTTAACCGTATTATAAGAATAGTGGCTGAGACAAAGTGTAACCGATCCCATGTTACCAACCATTGGCAACGGCTGGAGCTGCTTGACTCCATATCTGCGAAATCTTGAGTACACTTGACGGAAGTAGAAACTCAAGGTGACTAGAAGGACGATCGTCAAAATAACTAATAACATGACCTGATGACAAAAATAAATACTTTAAATTGATCCTAATTAAAATTAAAAGTATTGGTTGATGTGACAATATTCGTAAATGATCCAGCATATTTAGGTGTCATTGTTATGCCAGAATAAGGGCTAAGCTAAAATACTGACATTTTTTCCTTTCTCACATGATATTATCATGAGATCACAATGTGTGCACAGTAAAGTAAAAAGAAAAGAATGATAGGCCTCTATTTATTGAAATAATACTAGTTTTTACGGAATTTATCGCGTATATTTAACTTTTTAATTACCCGACGTTTCGAGAGCTTTACAGCACCCATGGTCACGGGAAGGACTGAGATGTTCAAGTCCAGCTGTCATAGTTAACCGCAGTTACCATAGATTAAAATTAAAATTTAACTTTTGTTCCGATCTACACAGTATGAACTTATGGTATCATGGAGTCTTGCAGTTGTATGCTTGGGTTGGGATTTAATTTTATTTATTATAGGATCCCAAGCAGATGGTAGCACCCAGCCATCTTCTCTATTGAAATTAGGATGTTTTTTGATTTCAATAGCCTCGCGAATCATCCTTGGAAGGAATCGGTGTTCTTTAGCGAGGATTTGTGGTCTATCAAATCTGATGTAGTGACGGGGGCGATCCTGTACATGTTCACAGACTGCAGACTTCCCGGAGCGTCGATTCTTCACATCAGCTATATGTTCTTTGACGCGGGTTTTAATGGATCTTTTAGTTTGTCTTATGTAGGAGAGACCACATTCACAATCAAGCTTGTACACTCCTGCATCTTGCAGAGGGACGTTACACTTGACTGATAGTAAAAACTGACCAATCTTCTTCGGCGGCTTGAAGTATGTTTTGATGGAAGCGCGCTTCAAGATGTAGCCAATCTTGTCAGTGACTCCTCTAACATATGGCAGTACAGCAGGTACACGCTCGACTGTGGCCGGCTTCACTCGTTCTCTGTGACGTAGGCGCGGGACCCGAAGCTTGTTGTCATGCAAAACTTGCTTGACATGTTGGAGCTCGGCAGCCAGGTGTTTACTGTCACAGATCCCTCGTGCTCTCTGAAACAAAGATTTACCCACGGTAGCTAACTGTGAAGGATGGTGGCGAGAATCACCGTTTAAATATCTATCTGTATGGGTCTTTTTTATATACACAGTATGGCTCAAGGTGTTATCAGGATTCCGAATTACTAACACATCTAGAAAAGCTAAGGAATTGTTTGCCTCTAACTCCATTGTGAACTGAATTTTGGAATTTATAGAGTTAAGATGGTCTAAAAAATGCAGTTACTTTATCTAAAGGTAGAATTGTGAAAGTGTCGTCTACGTACCGCTTGTAGAAACTTGGATTTATGGGAGAAGTAAGCAGGGCTTTCTCCTCAAAGTCTTCCATGAATATGTCGGCGACAATGGGAGATACAGGTGAGCCCATCGCCACACCATCTACTTGCTTGTAGAACTTCTCCTTCCACAATAGGTAGCCAGATGTAAGGCAGTGTCTGAGTAATACTGCATATTCTACGGGCATGTTGTTTTCTTCCAGCCTTCTAGTTACAATTGAGATGCAGTCTTCAACAGGTAAGCATGTAAACAATGACTGCACATCAAAACTGACCATAGTTTCATTGTCTGCCAGACGTAGGTCTTTAATCTCGCTGACAAAATGGTAGGAATCCTTTATGTGTGCTCTTGTATGTCCCCTGAGCGGTGAGAGTATTTTCGCTAAGTGTTGAGCCAATCTGTAAGTTGGTGAATCGATTTGGCTCACTATGGGGCGTAATGGAGCATTGGGCTTGTGTATTTTTGGTAACCCATACAACTTTGGTGATTTGGCGCACGTAGGTATTATCCATTTTACGTCCAGATTTAATTTTTCGGAGTGTTTCTTTATGAGGTCACTAGTTGTTTTTAGTGTGCTATTTGTTGGGTCGTTTTTAACCTTTTTATAAGTACTTACATCCGACAAAAGTTCTTGTATTTTAGAATTATAATCTGACGTATCCATGACTACCGTGGCGTTTCCCTTATCTGCGCGGAGAATCGTAAGTTCTGGTTTATTGCGTAGGTTCTTTAACGCTATAAATTCGTTTCTGGGAAGATTCGGTTTAGGCACTGAACATCGACGTAACATAGACGAAATGTCTTGACGTATCGCCTCCAAATCTTCTTTCCGCATATTGTTTTTAAATAAACAGTCCTCGACACTACAGATAATTTCTTCGTACCGTAATCTGCGTGGAGTTATAGCGTAATTTAGTCCTTTGGATAAAACCTTTATTGTTGCATCATCCAGTGTTTGTTTTGGCAGATTATAGAACGCGATTAATCTATGATCTGTGTTTATCAATGGTTGCTTTTGGTTCTGGCATTGATTCGGATGTTTGACATTTGATTTGGCCGTTAATTTTTGGTATTTTTCTATATGTTTGTTTTTGCATTCGTTATATTTACTAATTTCGCGTTTATTTAATGTTTCCATGCAAAAATTATAATCAAACGTCGTTAAAACTTTCTTTAATTCACTGGATGATGTGTCTATGGATTTATTGATGTCATATAGATCGGAGCGTTTTTGTTGGATTACCGCCCGTAACAACTTTTTTACTCGCCTGATTTAAGATCTTAGCGCTTCCTCGAATACTACTACTATCATCTACTATCATATACTACATCAGATTTGATAGACCACAAATCCTCGCTAAAGAACACCGATTCCTTCCAAGGATGATTCGCGAGGCTATTGAAATCAAAAAACATCCTAATTTCAATAGAGAAGATGGCTGGGTGCTACCATCTGCTTGGGATCCTATAATAAATAAAATTAAATCCCAACCCAAGCATACAACTGCAAGACTCCATGATACCATAAGTTCATACTGTGTAGATCGGAACAAAAGTTAAATTTTAATCTATGGTAACCGCGGTTAACTATGACAGCTGGACGTTGAATATCTCAGTCCTTCCCGTGACAATGGGTGCTGTAAAGCTCTCGAAACGTCGGGTAATTAAAAAGTTAAATATACGCGATAAATTCCGTAAAAACTAGTATTATTTCAATGTGTAGTGTTCGCGTAAATATAAGAAATCATTAGGCCTCTATTTATTTTATTTTCTATATTTTTATATGCCACCCACAGAATGTTTGTAGATGATTACCCCTCCTACTTCCATCTACCGCATTCCGTGATTGTCTAAAGAACCGCTAGCAATGCTTCCATGATGCGTGACGTCACAAAGCTCACAAAGTACAGATAGCCAGTGATTATGATTAAAGCGCTTCAACTTTGTCTTTAGGGCTGGTAATGTATCTGTACCCTTCCTTGCTTGGAATTAGTTGCAGACCGCAGTGATTACGTTACAAGTGGATTGTGAGATCGTTTTCAAGTCCGTCGCTCTTATATGCAATCTGAGCATTTCTACCGTTACTGTCACCCGTGAACTTAAAGTTGCAAATGTGATTCTTATATACAAAGGCTACAGAGCTAGAAAATTATAGACCGATCTTAATATTGGGTACTCTCTCAAAAATAATTGAGGAAGTGGTCAATGTGAGGCTGTATAAATCTGAGACAAATGGATTACTGGCCCAGAAACAGTACGGCTTTCGTTCAGGTAAATCCACAGAGGACGCTGTCGGAAATCTTGTTAATTTCACCATTGGTAAGATCCACGGTAATCAAAAGTATGTCGGTGTTAACTTGGATTTTACGAAGACTTTCGAAACAGCTTCTCGGCCAGTACTCTCAAAAAACTTTAGGTGCTTGGAGTGAGAGGGATCACTCTAGACTGATGGCTATCTGATCGGTATCTCTCTGATTGGAAACAAAGAGTGACCTTCGGAGACTATTCAGTAACTATGCACAGAGCAAGTTTGGTGCGCCGCAGGGAAGTGTCCTTTGCCCTACGCTGTTCTTGGCATATAAAAACGACTTGTGCTCCACAAAATTATTGGATTAAATGAAAGGATCTTCACTTTTGCATACAAAACTGTAATTATCATGGAATCCAGCTCCGTTTTATTGCACAGAAAGGATTAAACGATGTGAGTTATTGGATTCGAAATGTACTCCATGCTAACATTAAACAAACCAAACTTATCCCATTTTGTATAACTAATAAGTCAGCACCGTCAGAAAATCTAGAACTTAAACTCCACTGTTGTCTAAAAAAGACTCTATACAATGCCTATATGAGCGACTTGAACAAGTTAGTACCATTAAATATCTGGGTATTGTTATCGAACAAAATCTCAACTGGTTGGCACGGATAAAAGCCGTCTCGAAACTGCTAAAATAAACTTATGCATATTTTCAAAAACTGAATACTGTTGCTGGTGCTGGTTTAGACCTAATAAATGACCTAGTAAACCTTAGCCTATGCCTATCAGTTCTAAGTTATTGTGAAGAAGTATGGGGAGCTACTTGCAAATCGCACTTCCTGAAGCTTGAGTGTGTTCAGAGAGTTATCTCGAAAATAGCGTACCGCTGACCTAAGAAATATCCAACTTATAAACTTTAAATAGAATGCCAGGTACTTAATGTTCATCAAATTTAAATAGCTTCGTCAATATTGCTATTTCTAAAGAAAATTTAAATGGGATCGGTCTAAGACCAAAACTGCTTTCGCCCGCAGTTCAAACGATTACATGGGTCCTTATGTATACACTGAAATATATAAAACTAATAATAAAGTCTTGAATATGACAAGATCAGGTTGTAGATTATTGGTACATAATGGTTACAAAACAAAAAAATATGAAGAAACGGAGGCATTATTAAAAATCTTATCTAAACTAATAAAGCCTAACACATTTGCGGACAGTATACCAGACACATTAGATGTTGTACTCGTTCTGTTGTTAAGCCTATAGACGTACACTGTGACCTAAACAGAAAGTAATATATTAAAAAATAAACCTGTTAATCTAAAAGTATATTGAGATTAAATAATCATTCAAAGGGACTGACTTTGTAATATGCTCTATTACAGAAATATTCGTAATTCAAATGCGATCGATGTTACTAATATAAAATTGTACTGTATTGTGTTAATAACATAAAAGTATACACCTGACACAAATATGTGTTAGTTTTTCTTTTGTTAAGCTTTATTACTTTTTCTGTGTTGTAAACTACGAGTATGTATGTGAAAAGTCCACTCGTACACAATATCGGCTAATCATTAAGTTCTAGATAAATGGGAAGACTGGTCTCCATGACACAGCAATGCTAGAGTGGAGCCCAGTGATACTGTTTTAAATTATAAATAATAAAATATGAGGCTTTTAAAATATGTAACGTATTGTATGTATGTATTAAGATAGCTATAGTCCAGACTTCTTGCCAATTTTAGATTCAAAATGTATGTATTCGATACATTTTTTTCTTTTATATATATATATATATATATATATATATATATATATATATACATTTCTGTCTCTTTCCAATATTCTACACAATCCTAATACTCCGCTATATCTAAAAATCGTTTTACTTTTGTCCATCCTCCAGATGTTCCATGTAGATCAAATAATAGAACACTGTTAAGATTTCCGTCTTTCCATTCAATGCTCTATTCTCATTCTTTTACTAATATCGCAGTACGATTGTGGGATTCACTTCCCTTTATTTTTATTTATTTATTTATTTCAATCAACAAGGATCATAGGGTAAAATTACATTCATTCAATTCAATTCTAATACTAAAATTATAAATCATTAAAAATATTAATTACATCAAATGCGTAAGCACTTATAATAATATTGAAAATATTATAATAATTTAATAATAATAAACCGATAACCGATAACATGAACCGATGTCACTGTTGCATACACCATACCGGACTTAATGATATATTAACAAAACCACCGAAAAAAAACTTACCATAGTGATAAAATAATAATAATTAATGATTAATTTGTTAAAAATACAAAGAAAAAGTTTTAAATATATGTAAGTAAAAGTAGGTAATAAATTAAATAACATTAGTTCATATACCCGGGTGCTTGTCCGGGGCAATGGGTACATGAACAAGTACCAATTGCCTCGGACATATATATAACATCACAGTAACTAAGTCAGTATCTGTATACTTTTTGAACTGAATAAATATTTCTTATGCTTAAATCTTTTAAATATAGTCAGTATACCCTTATTACAAATAAATAGTGTAAAAAGTAAAGTAAAGTTACGGCCTATATCGTCGGGGCACAGGCCTCCCCCTCATTTCTGAGGGGGGTTTTAGGGCAAGGAAGTGTCCGCCGTGCTGCCCCAATGCGTGTTGGCGAACTTCACATGTCTTCGAAATATTTTTTTTTCTTATTCCTCAGACATGCAGGTTTCCTCACGATGTTTTCCTTCACCGCCGAGCACGTGGTAAATCAGCACTTAAAATTGCAATTAACAATTTCATTGGTGCCGGCGGGGCTCGAACCCGGGTTACTCGCGTTCTGTTATATTTACAGCGAGCGTTAACCATCTGAGCTACCACGGCTCTTAAATAAATAGTGTGGACAAAGCAAATGTATATTATTAGAAGTCTATGTTAAGGCACACGCGTGTTAAACACATTATCACAACGAAAAAAATATATCAAAAAAAACTTACAGTGTTTTACGTAGTGTTTTGATATCCACTTATCGCAAATAAAATGTACGTTACAAAGATAAAGCATAAATTTAAAACAAAATAAGTATCTTATATCTTAGCAAGAACAACGTGACCGTTGCTATAGATCTGAAGAGAGTAAGAGACTGTGTTTAATATTTAAATCTATGATTATATAAACTATATGTTCAGGCAGACGTTCTGCCTGTCCAGTGTGTGGCGCGATAAGTTTAACTACCAATTGACTGGGTAAAATATTGATAATTATTAATAACTTAACCACAGCTCTACCAATCAGATTCAGATTTTGTAATTTTCTTCATTGGCACTGAACCAACATGTGTAAGACTAAAATACTACAGTGCCACTAAACGAATCCTAGTATAGCTGTAAACCAGTGATGGATATGGTATAATATGGATGGATAAGGCACTCTAAGCACCGGCCTAGCGCATCACCGCAGGGAGGGCATGGTTATTGAACTTATAATAAAACTATATATTTTATTATAAAAGAAACGCATGTTATTATTCAAATAAAATGGAAATAAATCTCTCGTTACTATAAATGCACTAAATACATTATTATATTATATTAGTATTTTAATTTGTAATTGATAAATTGATTTGCAACGTGAAATCAATTAAGACGATATAATCATGGATGTCGCTATTAAAAGTAAAGAAATCAGTATTTCAGCCACAAAGAATACTTTCTAAATTAAAACATTTACTTCAAATGAGAAACCAATATAAAATAAAAAACTAGGGTGCCAAAAATTTTAATCTGGTACTGCTTTCAAGCATCGTCTTGACAAAATATTGTGTGAGTATGACCTCAATGGGTCAAGTTGGTCAGAAGTTACATGATCACTAAAATAGAAACGAAAAACTATATTATATAGATATAAATATCTCAAATCAGAAAATGTTCAGATTCTCTAAATAAGAGATTTCTGTCTTCACTTTTTCTCAGGGAGTGTACTATAAGCGGATTAAATGAAAATAGGTTTTACCAAAAGAGAATACCTTGTTAGACGCGACATTGTTTATCCTGAATAATCCTTTTTCAACTAACAATCTCCATTTAATCAAGTTTCGTATTAGCATAATACGGTCCATTTGTTGTATTTCTGTCAATGAAGGCTAATAATATTACGCTCATCAGATAGCGATATTTGTTGGTATTGAGGTGATTTTACATGTGTTTATTACGAATATGTACACACATTATCATCATTGAAAATTTGGGTTTTAAATAAACGTTTTTCCATTTCTAGTGCTTGTATTTACACAAAACAATGCCTTCGTGCTGTGTTCATTCTACTTTTACGAATATCCGTAGTTTAGTTTGTCCATTAATAATTTAATTAACGTAAAATATTACTTATATTTCAAAAATAAATATTAATCTCTACACTTTTCTGACAAATTAGCTACCCCTGCCCTGAAATATATAAAATATTACACCTCGTTCCAAAGTGGCGTGGTTCTGGTGGCAGAAAAGTTATGCCCTCATTAGACGTGTTATTGTTACATCCTATTATAGTTCACTGCTGAACATAGGCCTACCCTATAGATTGTATCATAGGAGGAATTTGTCTTTGTTGCCGCGCTTGGCTGGCGGGTTGGCGCAACCACAGTTTATTTTTTATTTTAGTCGTTATTGGAAAGACGCTGCTGCCTATCTCCTGATTTGATTTACCCTCTGTCGCGTCTTAATCCTTCAAGCGCCACAAAAATCCCATGCTGTCAAATGCGCCCAGCAAATGCGGAGCGGTCGCATGCGATCGCACCCACCCACAGTATTTAAAACCATTAAAATTTATATGTAGAGACTACTTTTCTATGGAGAAATTTAGCATTATAAAATCTATACAAAATTATCTATCTTGTGGTCTAAACAAAAGTCAGGTTTTACTTCATTACAAAAAGATTTAATTGTATTTTTATAACAAAAAAAAAAAACATACCAAGCGAATGTCGGCAGTGTGGCAATCACAATTATTTTAATATATATTACTCGAAATTATTTACGTAACAACATAAATTATATTCACATAAAAACTTTCATTACAATTTTATAATAAAACACTATTCTAAAGCACTAATAAAACACTAGAAAAATCCAAAAATCAATACAATAACATTCACGCGAAAATGGCGTACGAAATAAACGTAGATTATAAATAAATATTCATAGGATAACAGCTCTTTTATTGCACTAGAGGATGGAGTATTTCATATTATTGCCAAACTTCTTCATAGAAAAGTAGTCTCTATATATAAGTTTTTACGAATTAGTGTTGTGGGTGGGTGCGATCTCATGGGACCGCTAGAATTGCGGATTAATTGCGGATTTGACGGAATATGGCCACGGTCTCATGAGACAGCTAGGACGTTGAGAGGTTAAGATGCCCACAGAATGATATGGGGTGGTAGATATTCATACACCGCCACAACATGGTAAGATATGTGCTGAAGTCTTTTACACAGTTGTAATGTTGAGCCGACTATTATTACTATATAGAAAATGCAATAGGATGCAACATCCCTTAATACCACCAGTGAGTTGAGCCGAGCAAAAAGTACTCGTTCGTCGACAATTCAAGCCGATCTGCGCTGGATATTCATCATTTGATATGTCAACGCCGAGGATTCTGATGCTAGCTGAGGAAGCAAGAAGCAAGCCCTGAAAATGAAAAGATACGACAAAGGGGTTCTTTTTAGTGGTAAACGTGCAAATGTGTGCCTTCAGAGCGTAAAACTGGACTAAATTTAGTCGTTCCGAATTCGAACCTTTTTTATAATAAAGACTCGACTTCGGACACATGTTTGTACTGATACTCGGAAGATGTGGTTCAGAGAAATATTGGCACCACCAGAATAAAAATATCACGTGTACTGTCGTTTGCGTAGCAATAAATGCTACTAGCTTAAAAATACCATGATGTGCAGAAGGAATTGCGTAGGCGACAGCACACAGCCTTATGAAACACGAGCATTGATAGGCTTGTATTCCGAGCATGCTGCGTCTACTACGATCTTCTTGTTCCGATCAGCAAGGAAACTGGTGATTCAACTGCAAAATTTCTCGGGAAGCCCATAGGTTAGGTGTCACAAAAGGGCTGTAACTCAGTTGTAACGGGAAACCCCATTACCCCTACTATTCTGCCACAGCCTTTGCGCCTTGACCCTACTGGGTCGAAGCAGCAGTAGAGTTCAAGGGAAAGGCCTTGGACTCTACTGCCTCTGCCTATTTGTGAGTTAGGTAGACCAGAAGATTACCAGCTGATCGACCTCGGTGAAATGACGGCAATAGACCTTTAGTTGTTGTAGTTGTGCGGGTCTGACCTTTTTTAGGGATCAGATGGACCAAACCTGTCTTCTTGAATTTACGACTAAGCCTTTAGAGTAAGAGTACCGAAAATGACGATTTAAAACCGTGCCACGTGCACACTTTGAGCACGCCACGTACAACTATCCATAGAGAAACTATGGATAGTTGTACGTGGCAACACCTTTTATTCCACTTTGCGAATGCAAGGAGAATTGCAAAACTGGACACGTTTCAATTAAAACGGCAATTCGGTTGGAATCAGTGTTTTCTTTGAAATTAATACATCCTCGTTTTAGAACTTTCCTATGATTGATTATCTTTGCTTCAGTCACGTTGTTCAACAGCTTCTTAACAGCGAGTATTGTTTCATTGCATAGTTTCAGTTAGAATAGATTGCGTAACATGTGCTTAACTGAGTCGACCTTGAGCTGCAAATTGTGTGGATTTCAATTGAATAATTGACCGATAATAGAATAGATTGACTTAAGTGAATACAATTGGCCAGCTATTCGACTTTAAATTTTTATATTAAAATTGTTCACATTCTTATTTTCCTCTGCCATAATGGCTCGTTAACTCAACACTTTCGTGAATAATTTTTCTTTCGACGTTGTGAATTGACATAAACTAGGTGGAAACGAAATCGGGTCATCGAAAGCAGGAATTTTTTTGATGATGCGTTTCATAGGGATTATCTCAGCATCTCCGAGTGAAGCAGAGCAAACCAAATGAATAATCGCGAAGAAGCTTGTCAACGGTATCACTGGTAGTCAATTAAGTTTCTTAATTCTGCGTGAAGCAAACTCATTGTCCAGTCTCTAATTAAACAATTTCACTATTAAAATTAAACAACGAAAAAAACTAAGAAATAAACTAAAAATGAATTCAAATCATTTTAAATATATAATTATTAAAACATATAAATGCAAGTTTATTTTTAAATTATTTAATTTATTTCTTACTGGAGACAAATTCTACTACTTCTTGCGTTTCATGATAGTTGACGCTGTTTTAGAAATGTGGGACGTAGTTCGGTACCGTAGTTTTATTTAATAAATAAATATCATATTTAATATAAATTCAAATTTTATTTTGAAATATGATATTTATTTACTAAGACACTACGTGATCCCGTTTTTAACTAACTGAATTATATATAATAGAAAAATAATATTTTAGGGATGTGACTTAGTGCTCTTTTTTTGACGTTACCGCAATCAGATAAAACGTAGTATTTAAGTTGGTTTGGGTCATAAGCAACATTTGCCGTGAGAAAGAAGAGAAGGCGGTGAGAGGCAGGTAGGGAAATTTGGGCAACGGAACCCAAGGGACCAGTAGCTGGCCGAATTCCTGAATAAAGAGGGACTCTTTAAGATAAACTATTTCTTCCAGAAGCGACCCCACGGGTAGTGGAACTGGTCGAGCCCCGACGATTCGACAAAAAATGAGATTGACTTTGTAACGCTTCCCTCCTCTCTCATAATAATAAATATATTAAATACTAAATGTATTATATTCCCCTTTACATAATAATTATATATATTTGTGACCAAGATTAATAAAATATGTTTTGATCTTTCTAAATGATCTTCCCAAAGATTTAATAATAGGCAGTTTGTAATAATTTTGACGTGATCGTCTTGGTTAGGACCCTTATTTACGTTGTGTTTGTTTAGTAACTTAGTTCTTTTAGGTGTCTTTTGGAAGAATGAATATTCACTAGAGCAA